TATACCCAAGCTCTAGGCCACTTGCCATAATTTAAAATGTTACGTCATACCGTGCTCTTTTTATTATATGATAACTTAGATTGCCATACCCCAAACCATTACGAGATCCTCCATTCTATTGAAGCCCACCTCTGACGTGTGTTTCCAAATTATTCATTTCCATCTGGCTATGAGGCACAACAACAATAGATTCCTTTCCAAAAGAAAGGAATGATTTCATGAAATTAGTTTATAGTTGTTAATTTTTTCTTTTTAATCATTTAGTTTTTTTTGACACATTAATGACTACTATAGGAAAAATAAAGGAATATGAACCTTAATTATGTACAGTAACGTACATTTAGGGATTAGGAGGGACTCAGTCCCTGGACATAGAAATGTAAAATAGATCTCCTGTCTTGTTGTTAGGAAGCAGACTGATTTGAGATGGATTTTTTGTGTGTTTTTTGCTTAAAGTTCGTATTGTAATTTAGGCGTATTAACTATACAGATTTATTTGTGTTATTCTGTTTGCCTAAATATGCAATTTTTTTCTGTAAATTCAGTTCCTATTGTATTTATATAGTTTTCTGGAATATTTTATCTTACATATTTTTTTATTTTTTTATATTTGTGTGTTTTCATTTTATTTAAAATGTATATGATCCTACTGTGAATCTTTTTTAATGCATTTTTGTTTCTCCTTGTCAAACTGATGATCGCTTTTATTTTGTTATCATAGTTAACTTTACATTGAAGAAGAGTCCTAATGTTACATTTAGCAATCTTTTTGGAGCTATTCAATGCAGCATAAATATATCTGCATTTCTGTGTTGTAGCTTTGTTATTGTTTGCTGTTGTTGTCAGATTTAATTAAAAAAACATGTTTTTGTTATTTTGGGTTATTTTATATCCGTGCCATATAGTAGTATTTAAGCTTCCTCTTGATTTGCTATTTAGTCACATTTGCTTTTGCTGTCAAGCCTTTTATTTCTTTTTTGGGATCTTCTCTTTATTTTTTTAGCATTATATAGATTGAAGAAACAAAACTCTTCTTGAAAAATGTTAAGACATTATCAACAATAATGACACCTGTGAGTTAAACTTTAAATTTAAGCCCTTATATTTGCAAAATATAGTGACATGAGATGTACAGTCATGGTAGAAATAAATGAAGATAAGAAAAAATTGCAGAATAGCAAAAACTATTTTGGAACTACTTATTACACTATAAAAATATTTCATCTAAGTTTTACGTTTTTTGTCATTTTATTACAAAACAAATTCCAATTTACTTTATTTTAGATCCCATTAACACAAACTTATTAAATAAACATTACATCATGCAAAGTAAGGTGTATAATGAATATTTGTTTGAAGGTGTATGTTTTCAGTATTAATTAATTCTACTTTCTAACAGTTAATGCTAATATAAGTGTATTTATTTCAAAAAAACATTAAGTTTATTGTGCAATATTAATTATTATGCAATTCAAACAATAAACTTTATGTATTTAACTAATAAAATCATGAGTATTAATTTTTAATAAATATACTTTATTCTTTCTAATATATAAACTATTACCTTTTTTTAATAAGCTATGTTAGAATGATGAATATGCATTGTTAAGGTTTATTTAATAGTTTTGTGTTAAAATGATAAAAAAGTAATTTTTTTTATGTAATAAAATAACATAAATTTTAAGGTTTTAGTGAAATACTTTTGTGAGTGTACACCCATATTTTAACGGACATAAACATTGAAGTGTTTGCTATATTCTGTGAGAAGAATCGGCAGAAACACTTTAATAAAATAAGGAGTTTTATCAAACTGCAACTCTGGTGTTTAAGGGTTTGTTTGAACTGATCCAAAAAAGCTGCAGCCAGAGTTCTGATGAAAATGAAAAAGAGAGATCATATCTCTCCTA